AAAATGTAAAATATTTTAATAATTATTACCTTTGACCACTCTCTGGCCTTCTGTGTTACAGTCGTGATGTTCTTCTCCTTACACCATAAAGCTCCCATAAACGCGCCGATACTAACTCCCCCTACCATATCAATAGGAATTCCTGCTTCCTGAAAACGTCAAAATAAGTTATTAAAAAACAGAAATCTCCAAAATAAATTAAAGTTAATAAAATAAATGTATCAAGTAGGAAATATTTAATTGACAGCTCAACAAGACTTGTTTTGCCAGTGTAGCAGGGTGTAACAAAGTAAGCTTATATAAATACATTCCATTTTGTAAAGTTTAATCGGAAGCATAAGTTGTTCAAACTTGTTATAATTGCTTTGGACACGGAATTAAACAGGGTGATTCTTAAGTTGACATTTCTCATTTAACAGTTTCAAATATACAGCATTTTAAAATAAATTTAAAAAATTAAAAATAGGATAAAAAGTGAATTTTTGATCTGATATCCACAGTGGCCCACAAGAAAAAATCCAGGCCTGTCATAAGTCGGAAAGTGCGGATACTTTCCTGAATAGGTGAACCAGTCGAAATGGACCAGTTGCGAGGCCACCGAGGTAGGTAGAACTATTTTATTATTGTTATTATTTTAATGACTTCTATTATGTTTAGGAATTATCCAAAAGACAAGTATAGTTACTTTTCAAAATGTTTACAGCAACAGAGAAATGAGCTCTCTACATTTTATGAGGATTTTGCCACTGCACGGCCTAAGGTTACCGGCAAAGCTAGTCTTGCTGAACTTGTAATTTACCTGTATGGCTTTAATCATTCCAATATGAGCTGCTCCTCGTGCTCCTCCACCACCTAATACTAAACCTACTGATTTTCCCGTTAACCATCTAGCTAAACGTGAAAAATCGGAATGCACGTTCGGGGCTGTTGTGCATATTTTTGAGTATAATTCATTCTAAAACAAAAAAAAACTATAACTGAAAAATAAAAAAAACGTTTTTGTTTTTTTTTTTATTTAAAAAAAAAATATGATAACTATTTTGTGTTATACACTTTTTTGTAAATTAATGGTCACCAAGACTGCCTGCTCTTAACCCAGCGGAAATGAAAAATTACCCGAATCAGCTAGTTTTCAGATAATTAACAGTTCAAAAACAGTTTAAAACATTATTTGAAAGCCACTTAACGACATCTTCATAGAGCATTTGACTCAACAAACTGTGTTGAGAGCAGAGGCGAAATTATTACTAGGCGGCTGCGATTGATCAGTATTTTAAAAATAACCGCCGTCGAATGACGTAATCGTATGCCTTTGTTACCAACAATTTGAACCCTTTCTCTCTTTGACTTTAAACAATCTTATGAGCAAAGCGCGATGAGTTGAATCAATTTCTTTCAAAAAAATCCGAAGAGAAAGGTAACGTGAACAAATGTACAGATAGTGTTTTTTAGATGTGATATAATTATTGAAAATTAGTTGATGAGCATTAGAGAGGATATATTTCAAAATAATGTGGTATTTAATTTCGCTTTAACTTGAAAACACTAGTTTATGGTTTATTGGTTTAGGAGTTAATTTATAGCTCGTGCCAAAGTCAGCTGAAGCCATAACCGGCCTAAGTATGAATTTAATTAAATAAAATAATGGAATTTTGAATGAAATAATTGGCTAACAATCAATTATTTATTGACGGCGTACTTACAATTCTATAAACAGATTTCCTAGCAAACACTCTATTCTGACACATAATATGATGATGTGACGACACCCATGTTCTCATATTTAACCATGCAATCGTGTTTTGTGGTTTCCCGTCTTCTCTATGTAATAGTACTAGTTCCTTTTGTGTCCTTATGGCCAACCTTTCAATTTCCTTTTCTACTTTTCCTATTATACAAAACAAAAATTATATTTAATGGGTATTTTTATAATTATTTTCAATTGCTTTTAACCATGTTTAACAATAAAAAAATGTAATATTTTATAGACTTGAGGATGGTAGAACAATTGATTGAAACACAGACTAGTTTTTTTTTAACTGACTATACATGTACATATGAAAATAGATAGTAAGAATATTATGTTTAAAAAACGATGGTCAATAAATTTGGCGTGAAATTCTCAAAGTTAAATATTAGAAATATTCCCCTCTTTCCAATCATTATTCTACACTTAGCTGTGTCTAAGAACGAATAAAAACAACACAGGAAATTAAACAATAACATAGGGCTGATAACGGACCTAAAAAATTAAACTTTCCTCAAATTGTAACATGAAAAAAATTAAATATAAAAATAGCCTTTATTAATAAAAATAAAAAACAAGTCTTAAAAATAATTATAAAAAAATTAATTATAATAATTATCGATGGCAAAGTTTGTGTCCCGAGGGCCTCTGGTCCGAGGGACAGCAATTGCCTGAGGTTATTAAGGCCCATTAATTCCAGTGGTACATAGATAATTTTATTTCTGACAGATTTCAATAAAATTTTGTTCATTTTTAAAACGGAGAAAATGTACCAATTTGTTACCTTCCCGGTATATTTGAATCAGGTACCGTTGATTATAAGAGTTTTGTTGTTGCTATGTTACTTGTTTATAAACAGAACTTTGTCACAGTTTATAGCTAAAGTATCAGTTCGCTCACTCTGCGTCGGCACTTTTGATCTCACTGTGCAACTCAGATTTGTATCCCTGGCGCATACAGAATCAAATCATAACCAATCAACCGCCTATATTCAAACAGCAGTCTTCTGCACATCCTGAATTTGTATCCCTGGAGTGGATATTATTTTGGAACATTCAACTGGTCCAAGTGAGCTAACTGATTCTTTAGCAATAAACTGCGACTTTGTTATCAAGCTGTGTTTGCGTTAAAAACTATTTCTACCCCAAATATAATGGAGCAGATTTTGAAAAAAGTTGAAAAAAGAAGAGAATCATTAATTCCACCGAAAAATGAAGCCGTATACCAAAAAGAATACAAGATATATCTGGAGTGGCTGACACGGAATAATGTTATGCCAAAATATGCCACTGAAACTGTATTACTAGCATATTTTCAAGAATTGGTAAGGAATATTGTATGTTTTTCGGTAGATTTGCTAGTAATTGTGTTTATTCGCAGTCAGAAACGTATAGTCCGAATTCTTTATGGACTAAATGGTCAATGCTAAAATCGATGGTGACTATACATGAGAAAAGAGATATCACCAAGTTCAATGAACTAGAGGCTTTTTGAAATGAAAGACTAAGAGTTATAAGCCGAAAAAGTCGGCTGTTTTATCTCCTAATGATGTTATCAGATTTCTAAAGAACGCCCATAATGAAATTCATTTATTGCATAAGGTAATTTTTTTCCTATTTTCCTTTTTGTGTGTATTTATTTCCTTTTTTTGTTTTAGGTTGTTTTGATTATGGGTTATTTTGGAGGATGCAGAAGTCAGGAACTTTTGAATATAAAGATATCGGATATAAAGGACCGGGATTCCGTTATGGTAGTGAACGTACCGGAAAGTAAAACTGGTGTATCGAAGAAATTTACAATTGTGGATGAAAGAGTTCTCTGCTTTGCATTTGTTAAGACTTTATATGTCTTTGCGTCCTAAAGGTATTGAACGATTTTTTTTGAGCTTCCGACAAAATAAATGTACATCTCAGCCAATTGGAAAAAACATGTTTGGGAAAATCCCCAGCAAAATCGCAATGTATTTAGGATTGCCAAACCCATCTTTCTATACGGGACATTGCCTTCGTCGCACTTCTGCTACTGCTCTAGCCAATGCAGCAGCAACTATGACTAACTTAAAAAGACACGGAGGTTGGAAAAGTTCCACGGTGGCGGAGAGGTATCTGGAGGATAGCATCGAATTGAGAAATAAAACAGCACGTATGTTGTCTACTTTGCGATTAGAAGAGACAGGTACCCCGACTGTAGTGAAGAGAAGATCCAGCCATACAAAAGAAGAAATTGTTTGCAGTGGCGGTAATAATTTTCAGGGAACATTTCAAAATTGTACATTTATTATTTGTAATGACGCTAATAAATAAAATATGGTTCAGTTTTCATTTCATAAATATATACACATATATGTATATTAGCATTTTTTATTTTATATATTTTTACTTGTGAAAGGTAGAGGGAATTATAGAATCTATAATGTCCCAAGGGAGTTATGATCCTCTTTATTGATAGCGTAACTATGACGATATAAGTTTATAATATCCCTGTCAGAAATAAAAAACTTAAGGCCTTTATTAACATATTTTTTTAATATTTTATACCTATTCTTATACCAGAAAAACTTGTAACATGCAATTTAAGCAGATTCAGTAATTTTGGATTTTTCAACTTTTTATTTCTATTTTTTTACAATAGGTTTTTGACGTTTTCCCAAATAAATATAAAATAAAAACAAATTCTCAAAACCATGTGTTATTATAACTCTTTTTTATCAATTATTTTCTAATGCCTTTAATTTTGAAAAGTTGAAAAAATATTCTTTCTAAAGAATTTCCATAAAAAATATTGCTTTTTTAACCAAAGATGTGTTTCACAATTTTAATATTTTTGCCACTTTTTCACCTCTCAAGAACATGTTGTTTAATTATGACACCTTGTCTCAACTTAGCAAGCATTTTTTTACAAACATAATCCCTATTTTTTTATTATTATTATTATTATTATTATTATTATTATTATTATTATTATTATTATTTACCAATATTTTTAGAACATATTTAATAGAGTTACCTAAAGAAGGATGGTTGTCACCAAGCCCCACAATCAAAATACAATCAGCTTGTCGAATACATCTTTGCGTCCAGGCACTAACAGTTAAATCACATTGATACAAAGAAATTCTATGTTGGTCTTCTTGTTGGGCTAACCACGAAGATAACCTATACTCGTTGTTGGGATCCATTATTGTCGCTCCAAGCGTTTTACGTACTACATCTGAAGTCAGTCTTAGAGTTGATCCTAAACCAAAACAAAAAAATCAACTATGGTTAAGGAAAGGAGGGAGGGAAACAGTCTTTATCACAATAGAAAAAAAATTGTATTCATTATTAAGGGCCATTAGTTTCGACCAAAGCCCATCCATCAGGCCTAGACGAAAAACAAACAGTTATATGGAGACAAACCAATGAATAATACAAATTACACATTGAAAAGGTTGAAAATCAACAGAAGTTGAAAATCAACAGAATAAAGCTACTTAAGGTACAATTTTAATGATTGGGTTAAAATTCAGCATAAATACTCAGAAGTAGTTCAAAAAAGTTAAAAATATTAATTGTAAAGATTTTGAAACATGAAGCAAAGTATTTAAATTATTAACAAGTAGCTTAAATTAACAATATCCTAATCAAAAATTGAATTATGGAGCAAAATATTTAATATCTTAAAAGAAAGTTAGTGCAAATTATAAATTTAAAAACTTGGAAGTCAACCCAAGTAAAATTATTGTTGATCGACTTACCAATGGCACTTAAACAATGGTAAATTTCGTAAGTGACGGCGGTCAGAGGGACATCATCAGAGGCAGCAACTACAGCCACCGTTGAAAAATTTAAAGACGATGGTCGTGCATCCACAGCTGGAGCAGCACTGGGTGTACTCAAAGTAGGCGTTTTCCAAGTACCTAAAAAAGTATAATTTCTAGAAATTTTTCTAATAATAATATATTGATTAAGGAAAAGACTTACCCAATATTCTATGTCCTAATAATTTAATCAGTCTCGTAACAACTATCGGGTATCTTAATTTAATTGCATTGAATAGACCTTCAGGTAACTTTGCTAATTCTGAATCACGAACTGCGATAACAGTTGTACTTCTCTTCGTTTGGGTAACCATCTCCACCTAAAACCATCAAGACGTGAAGTATGGCTAATATGCCACCCATTAAATCCTACATCGAACCATGCAAATTAATTAAAAATTCACGTTTGCTAGCATTGGACTACCGAGTCGAATCAGACCAGATAAAGGCCGTTGAATAATTTCCTATTAATAATTAAAAAATAGAGAATAAAAGTTATAAAAGATAAGGTATTCCATGACGTTTTCGGGAAAATAACTTCTGTACACTATATAACTTGTTTATACAGTAAAAAGTAACAACAGAACAACAACAACAACAACAACAACAACAACAACAGGTTCAAATAGAGGAGTGCGTTAATTAACTCTGTCAAATAAAATACTAATGTTCAGTAGCCGATTTACAACATTTACTTTTAGAATGTATTTTAAATGATATTCACATATCAAATCTATATACCAAACTTATTCAACATAATGTCCAACTACCTATTAATTTGTCACACCTTCTCGCCCTCAAGAATTTCGATGTATACAAAATTATTTATAATCATGTAAACTCCTTAAATTTAAAGCTCTGACGAAAATAATTAAAATATGTACAAAAATAAAAAATAATATAACAAAACCAAATAAAAAAAAAAACAAAATTAAAACAAAAAAAAACAATTTCAAAAATGAAAAACAAAAAAAACAGAAACAAAAACAAGTAAAAAACAAAAACAGACGAAAAAATCAAAAACAAGCAAAAACATGAGCTAGAAAAAACCTATTATAGGATTTACTTCTTAATAATGTATTTAGAGAAATTTGTATTTTTCAAATAAAATGTGAACTGTGAAATATTGTAAGGATAGAACTTAAAATTGAATTAACACAAAATAAACTTTATTAAAATTAATTAAAGATTGACTGGCCAGTTGGTTTTGAAACCAGTGCCAAACAGAAATACATACACACAGTATCATCCTACGCCCCATCCTCACGTATGGTTGTCCAGTTTTTTGCTCTATGGCAAACTGTCATTACACAAAATTACAAATTGCACAAAACAGATGCCTTCGGCTAGCGCTGGGCTACGACCGTTATGCTAGGATTACAGTAATGCACAGACAGATACCCCACTAATTAAAAAATACATATTAAAAACAGCCGAGAATTTCTACAAGCGATATCTTCCCGATGATGTTAGGGATAGTATCCTAAGGATACATCGAGGGGATGACGTGCGTAGAAAGCACGGCTGTATACATGCAAAACTTGACATTTATAGACTGAGACAGACAGAAATACTAAATAACACCTCACCAAGACAAGATATTTACACAATCTAGTCGGACGGCGGACTGAACGATGGATCGGCCCCCAGGGCACCTACCGCGAGCCATATACACTCGCGGTTTCTGCTCTGGTGGTGGGACCGATCATCGATCACCAAGCCTGGGAGCTATAGTTGAAAACATGGACTATAAACTCGACCATCATACACACAAGGACAACCCTGTTTTTTCTAGTTTTTTTTCAGAGGACAAAAACCAGAACAAAGACATGACAAATCCTTAAATAACATCCCATTTCTAATCCCAAAACCCAACAAAATTCCATAATAATACCGATAAGGTAAGGAGTAAGGACTGCTATATTATCAAAATCTAAAGTCGGAAATAAATTCTATTTGCAGATGTATCCGCCATGGCCCTAAGGGTACGCGCGAAAAGCTAGCCGATCAAGTTCGGTAGTGTGACTTACATATTATTTATTTTCTGACATGTAGATACTATTTTATAAATGTAAATAAAATTTATTCTAATCTAATCTTAATTAACTAATGTGGCTTAACAACTATGTAATTAAATGTAGGCTTTGTTATCACGAGGAGCTTTTCGTCTTCGTCGTATACGTCATTAGTACTCGTGATTAGCGTCTCTCTGATTCAAAGTGTGAATATTGAATAATTATTATATCTGTCCTGTCAACCTTTTTTTGGATCTATTGATTCAGTAATTCGCGGGGAAGAGTATAACTTAACAGCAAGTCGTTCCGTCGCAACTTTTAGAATTTAACAAAGCGGAAGCATGGGCGCGTATTTGGGATAGGAATAAGGGATAACTAAATAATATATCTACAATAATGTAGAAAGATAAAAGAGAAGGGGGGGGGGGAAGAGTTGAGAAAGAGTTGGGGAATAGATGGGATAAGATATAAAAAAATTAGAAGAATGTTGGAATAAGATAGGGAATAGAAAGATAATAAAATGGTAGAAGGGAACGGAAAGAGGGGTGCCAGAAGGGTGTATAAATGAGAATAAAGAAAAGATGATGGTGGAAGGGATTACAACTTGGAATACAAAAGAAATCGTGGCAGAACGGAGTACAAGCGGGAGTGCAGGAGAGACGAAAAAGAGGAAGTGGAAAGAGATAATATTAAAACGTAAAAAGGAATGAAGAAATTTAACAAAGAAACAGCATCTAAAAACTCTTTATATATGTTTATTCCAGCCAAGTAAAAGTTATGAGAAAAATTCATATTTTCGACGTATTTTCTAGAAAAGTTTATGGAAATAAGTTTACATACCACACCAATTAAATCTCCTTTACCATACTCGGCGACCAATTCTTTTTTGCCATTTTTGTGCGTTATCACAGAACGTAAACGGCCAGATAATACAATGTATGTAGAATCGCTTTCGTCGTCTTGCCTATAGATGGCTCTACCGGATTCCATAAATATCCAATCTAGGGCGAAATCGACCTGCCTTACGAAAGGAGACAACCTTCTGACTACCAAATGTGCGATATAGAGTACTACTTTAGGTTGTTCTTTCATTAATCTACAAAATAATTTAATTGATAGTTAAGCGAATTTTAAATGACAATTACAGAAAAGCATAAAAATGTCAAGGTTTAAGGAACGATTTTTCTACAATATCCAATTATAAAATCTGATTTTACAGCAAAAGGTTCTAAAAAATGTAATTGCAATGACTATAGTATCATTGTCTGCAATCTGTAAAACACAGGAAGTGATGTTTACTGCCTTTTAATAAATAAATTATGTTGTTGTGGTGACAGATTACAAACTCAAAAAAGAACATAACTGCATAAAGGACAGTCTTTGATAGAAGTATATAATGAGCAGCACTTCAAAACATGTTTTCCATTCTGGACAAGGTACCTCCAAAGCAAGTGATTTAATTTTAATTTGTTGTAATAAGAAATAAAAGTCATTAATCGATCAATCAGGCGAATATGGAGAATGAGTCATTAATTGGATGTTGTTAATGGTCAAAAACTAGACAGTTCGTTGTAGTGTGAGCTCTTACATTATCAAGATGAAAAATGATTCGCTGGTTTACATTTTTTCTTCTGATTTCAGAGATCACTTCTGGCAAACGAATAGACATGTTTTAATGCCTCTGATGCAGGATAGGTTAGCCAGAGAAGTTCACTCTGGAAGCTAAATTCTTTACGTCCCAAGGCTATGCTTCCTTCAAGATAGATTGAAGTAGAGATGACAAACACTATTTTGCAAAATGACGTGATGGAGTGATGGAAAAGTGATTAGTTTGAAGTCAATAAGTTTATATTTGAAGATTGGCAGAATTAAAATGTTTTTGTGTCATTTAAATGAAGCTAGTTCCACTAGCTCAAGTTTGACATATGACGTAAAAGTGTAATGCAAAAGTGTGGACATTTTTATTATCGTCATAGCATTTTCTCTTTATTCTATCTCAATTGTATGCTTTACAGGCTCTCATACCTCCTAATATCAAAAACGAACTTTACTATTAACGATTTGATATTGAATCGACTACTCTAGTGTTGTAGAGTTTAACTCGAGTCTACTGTCAAATTTGGTTGTTAAATTTGAGTTGAATCATGAACCGGAAACCCAGCCATCATTTGATGTTTTTGAATTTATTATTACATTTTGTGTATTGTAAATTGTATATATTATATAAACAGTTTTTTCTTTCACAGTAAATACTTTAAATAATTCAAGATAAAAGATGGTTCTCCACTTTTTGTATTAAGTCAAATACTTAATTGCAAACTTACCCATAGAAAGTACTCTTCGAAATCAATGCGATCCTAGTAAAGTGCTTAGCTCTAATAGTGAAGAAACTGGGTTCTCCAGTCAGCACGGCTAATCCACCGACAATTTCTCCAGGATGTGCTGTGAACATATGAACCTCCTCATCGCCCTCGGTAACTTTTTGGGATACTATCAAAGCTCCGGATATGACGTAGACTAGCGCAGCATCCTGAAATATAAACGAAATGAGTCCGAAAGATTATGAGATAAGTCAGTTATTTTGTTTTGCCTGTGCATAATCAGGGGACAATTTACCAAGAACGAAGATATTCTCAGCTTGGGGTTTCTCCTAGATAAAAAATAAAATAAAATGGAATTAGAAAGATGGACTGGATTAGATGATTTCTAAACCACACTACTGTCTAAAAGTCACGTAACGGATGGTTCAGAAATATATTTTTGAAGTATATAAAAAAAGGTTGTAAAATGGATTTGTAAAAATGATGTTGTGAAGGCACAATATAACTGCAAGGCTATAATGTTCAATTATATAAATTTTACTTTCGTTGGTATTATAAAAAACAAAAAATCAATGTGTCTTATTTTAAAATCATATTATGACTAATGAGTAATAATTATGCTTAGGATTAATGATGCTTTTAAATAAAACAATAATTTATTTATTGTTAAATACAGATTAATAAATGTTTTTATAAACATTTTCAGTAATTCAAAAAAATATAGAAAAATAAAAAATTGGATAAATATGGGGAGTTATAAAAGTGTGTACATGCCGAAGATGCCTTGATGAGCGATGATCGATGACCGATAGACGATGTAATAACAAATATACTAATTTAAATAAGTGTTCGTACCAAAGGTTAGCGCACCCTCACACGATCGCAACATACATTTGTATTACATTGACTGACATCCACTTAACCATCGCCTATCGGTCATCGAGGCATCTTCAGCATGTACACACCCTGTACTCAGGAACTACGGAACATTATGTAAATGAGATCTTCAGTACTATCATTTGAGGAATACTTGAGATTAGTTACGTCATCAATGGCGCTATGACGTCATCGCATTGAAAAATGTTAAATGAATAGGGGGATAAATGTTATCTAAAATGAAAATATTTTTTTATTCCAAATACCTTCACTGTGATACACTGTTGAATTTGGAATAAAAAACCCTTTTATTTGAGCTAGCTTTCGAACCCCCACTTATTCATTTAACTTTTTCAATGCGATAACGTCACAGCGCCAGTGATGTGAAGGTCCCATTGATATTTTTCAATTTTCGAATAAAAATGTTAAGTAGTATCCGAGTAACAGCCTGTAAAAAATCTTGAGATCGTATTTTACGCAATATGCATATTGTAGATTCTGTTTTATACATACGCCTCAAATTAATGACAAACACTATGCACTTAATGATGTTACCAAAAAATTTGTTATTTATTTATCTTCTTACCTTATTAGAATCCTCTTTCATCAAGTACGTTCCTGCAGAAACCTCCCTAATTTCCACTTTTCCTTTTAAAATATTCAAATCGTCCAATCCCAATTCTTTTACAAAAGCTTCTGTTGCTATTTCTATGAGCTCTTCATCATTAACTGTTTCAGGCATTGAAAGTCTCTTTTTTTGGAGGGAATTGAAATCCAGGAACTAAAAATTTTGTTAAATTCTGCATATTTACCAATATTATTAATTTTTTAACTGTTGAAACATTCATAACTAAAACCATGAAGGCCGACAACCAATCATCTGTTTCACTTTACAGAGAAAACTTAGTCAAATAAAGTTTAAATTTTAAATCTCAGAGGTTGTTCAAGATTAAAAATTTCATTCATGTAAGAAGTTTTCGGAAACTTACTTGGATCAGAAAGATTATTGTTCGTTTACCTAGGGTTACTAACCCTATCCGAGTACGGAAACTGGTAAATTACTGATCCAGTTTTGTGATCGAGATCAATATTTTGTGATCCTCTCTGCGAGTAGTAGTAGTTATAAAAGTTTTAAAAACATTTTTATTGTATGTGTAAATGTGTAAGTAACTATCCAGTAACTGCATTCAGCAATAAGCCTTATACAATTTACAAATGAACTAAATAGTTCTGTAATAGTGTTTATTTTGTGTTTATTACTGTTGAAAGAATGTTCCGGAAATAATCTGTTTTATAAATTTTATTTTGTAAACATTTTGTCAGCTTTTATAAAATGTCACATTGTTACTTGAGCAGTTACGGCTTGAGTGGGTGAACAAATTCATACAGCGTGAAGCCCACTTTGTTCGTAGAATGGAATGAAGAATGAATGAGCTGAACGCATGGGAAGAAGTAGGGCATCCAAATGGTGACACAATAAGACATATGGGTCTCAGTGTCGCCATGTGAACCCCTAGAGGAAGGAAAGCAGGCTGAACCCCAAGTCTGATTGGGGGATTTGCCGAATCCTCTCAGAGGGAGTAGAGGGATGCCTGAAAGAGTGAAAAAATATGTTTCTTCTCTTTTTCAGGTAAATATTCTTAGTTTTCCTTTTTTTTGGTAGATTTAGACAAGGTATTCCTTGTTAACATTTGGCTATAGATCCTATAGCACGGTAAATATTTCTGTGCGAAATATTTTGGTCTTGAATAATGCGAATTATTTCAGGCTTAGGGATCCGTCCAACCAAAATACAAACGACTTGCATAATGTCAAAAAAAAATAAACAATATTTTGTTTACAAAGCCATTTTGATATTTTATTATTACAACTCATTTTTAGATTCATAATTTCTTTGTTTATACCATTGGGACATCTGTTAAATCACAGTTATTAATCGACAGTGAGTTTTAATAACTGAAAAAATCTGAGCTATAATATTCTACCAGAATTTGCTTGAAATTGGAGAGATAAATATCGAGAGAACATTTTCTTCTATGATCAGAGGTAAGTAGTCTTAGCCTAGATATGTGGGTAAATGCATAACAATCAAAACTTTATCTTAAACCAATTTTGATTAGAAAAACAAACAAGTCAGCACCTGATAACCTAATTTCGTTATCTACGATATGTATTATATTATGAATAATTAGATTACAGATTGTTTCTCTGTAGAATAGTTAGAACTTACTTCATTGTTATTAAAACATAATATAAAACATATATCATTAGAGTTTAAGCAACTTTATTTTTGATATGTAAACAGGGTCCCTACTATTTCATAGGGACAGGATTGCTATTTCTTAAACGGTAACAGATAGAAAGTTGGTTAAATTAGACAAAAGTTGAGCAGTTATGTGCTCATTAAAATGGTGCCAAGAAACCTTTGATATCTACAGGGAGATTCAAAATTAAAATTGTAATTTCTTTAAATTTATTATTTTTGCCCGATATTTGGAATCTCCCTGTATATATCAAAGGTTTCTTGGCACCATTTTAATGGGCACAAAACTGCGCAACTTCTGTCTAATTTAACCAACTTTCTATCTGTTATCGTTTAAGGAATAGCTATGAAATAGTAGAGACACCATATAATATAACAAAAATAACTTGACCAATAAGAGCTTGAAATAATTTGAAAATACGAATTATTAAGACCTTCCCCGGACCCCAGAGGTAAAAACAAATACTTGTAGATTTGAAACAAAAAACCTGTTGCCACGGGGGGGGGGTCGAACCCAGACTTCCACGTTTACCGGACGTGAATTGGGAAAATTAACATTCTTTGAATTAATTTTGATTAAAATACACATTATTAATGCCCTATTAAGTCTATTAGTGGATATTTTGAGAAAAATTTAATTCAATTTTATTAGATTTTAGATTAATGTTATATACATAAAAACTCACATTGTTTGAAGCACTTTCGCTCTCTGCCAATCCGATTCCAGAATTTGCACTGGGGGAAAATGATTTTGATTCCATAGATGATTTGCTTCTTTTATGTCCAGTTACTGGGATAGGTTGAGTTGCTATAAGAGGAGAATTTTCTAGTCCACTTGAGAAAACCTCTTCTTTTCGTTTTTTTACAGGCGATCCTCCAACGACGGATTGTTTGTGCTTAGGATGCTGCAAAAAATTATTCATTGGATCTGACTTCCGTGACATTTCAAAAAATTGTCGATACTATTTATTATATTACCCTTGAAAAAATCTCGTATTCAAAATATTATTCATAATCGCGAAATATTTTTTGCTAACTTCCGGCAACATTGTTTCATCCTAACCTCGCTTTTGTGATTGTTTGGAGTTTATGTCATAGAAGTATGAAGCGATCAACAATTTTTTGGAAAAAAAATTCACACATGTGGAAGCTTACAAATCTTATTTTTAAGTCAGTTTGGATTTAAGTCAGAGCCTTATTTAGTTATCAAAGAGATGACTTGTATATATCTCTGTCTTTATGGTTCTATATTTATTTGCTTAAAAGCATTATTAAAATAATGGCTAAGGGGTGGGTGGCTCAGTGGTAGAGTCTCTGCCTGTGGATCCAAGGATCCCAGGTTCGAATCCCACCGTTGGCCGGGATTTTTTTATTTAATTTAATTATTTAAAATTAATTCTGATGCCTTAGTAGGATTCCTCACTCGACCATTCACTGTTGGGTTCTAACTAACAGTGCTGCTCCTAAAGTGGCGCTGGGAAACAGTATCAAAGCCTACACAGAACACGAGGCTAATGGCCTTAGTAGTCGATGCTGATGACACTAAATTAAAAAAAAAAAATGGCTAATAGGAATTGCTTTGCCGCTAAAGAGCGCTACTAAGACTAGAGATTCACATGTCAATGTCACTTTAGGGCTGGCTCAGATTAGTTAACAATTTTTGGGGCTGTGCCGAAAAAACGTCATTAACTCAATGGACCTTTCCCATTATTGTTGATCTTTATTACTCATGCGCAAATTCTACTCCTGCCTAATCATTAACTGTATTGTTGTTGTTTCCTACCCTGAGTTCCAATTACACATCCACAAATGTCATTTTGTTTTTGAATTTATTAGTAATGGTAAGGGGGCCAGTGATACTTTTAGGTGTGTTATTTATGAAAGGTAAAATTTTATTACAAATATATCGTTCATTCTTATCTTGCAGAACATGAAAATAGTTTGCTACTCGGCGATGGAGCCCTCAACACTGACATTTTAAAAATATTTGCATCAAAAGTTCGTAGAAAAAGTTTCTTGGAATTTAGCTCACAGTAGGTACCTTTTCTTGCTTGTTGACAGGGCATTTCGCCGCTAGATCGATTGCAACAAAGTATTTCCATCTTCAACAGGGTAAGAATTAACGATACATTCATAATTTAGGCTTCTGCAAATGTATACTAAAAAAGTCTCACTGGCTCCCTACTATATAGAATCGATGACAGTTTAAAATAACGATGAAATGGGGTAGTCGTCGTAGCCAACCCAACAGTTGTAAAGTGAGGATAAAGAAAGAGATAGCAAAAAGTGTTTGTAAAATTACTAGATTGGTAGGTTGTTAAAGTTTGTCGAGTTTTCTTATCTTGTTAAAGGGGACGATAACAGTTTTCCAGGGATTAACAGACATCTGCTCCCTCTATTAATCGTATTTAGGGTTTGCTGAAGGATGTTGGAGATCACCTCTTCGTCCTTCCCCCTAATTATGATAACCAGATCGTCCGCATAGCATTGGAAAACCACCCCCTGCTGAGAAAGATCGTCCAGCAGATTATCCACCAGAATGGTTTACAGTAGGGGTGAAAGTACATCGTCTTGTGGACATCCTCTGGCAGGCCTGAAAGTGACTCTCTCTCTCCCTGCAGTAATGAAATGATGTTCCGGTTTGCAAGCATGCTTTTGATACAGTTACAGGTCAGTTTGTCGATTCCTCTTCTTTCAATAGAAGCAAACAGAGATTGAGGAAGGGCGTTATTAAACGCGCCTTCTATGTCTAGGAAGGCTCCCAGCGCAATATCCCCGTATTTTAGGGAATGACCGATTTTGCCTACTAGATTTGCCTGCTTAGTAGGGAGAAGATTAACTGACATGCCCGAAGGCATCCTTCTCTAATGTCTATCTAGAATTCTCTCTAGTGTTTTCAAAAGAAAGGATGTTAGGCAGATTGGACGGTAGGAACTTAGTAGAGAGGTATCTACTCTACCAGCCTTATGTATATTCACAACTTTCGCCATCGTCCAATCTAGCGGGATATAGAATCACCCAGGATTGTTCTAAACAGCCTTACAAGGTGGGGTAGCAAGGGTTCCTGTCCTTTTTGCAAAAGGGCAGGAAATATGTCATCCTCTCTGGATGTTTTGAAAAAACTTGTGCAATAGATCCTTCTTGGGTCATGCGGCCGATTCTCTAGAAGGAAGGGGTACAACTTGCCAATCCTCCCCAATTCGACTGCCTGGGAAGTGTTTCTGTAAAAGTATCTCTAACGTTTCCTGGCCAGAGTCCGTATAGGTATCATTGGGTCTTTTTATCGAGCCGACTTCCTATTACGAATCTTTGGCGAGAATCTTGTGAAGTCTGATGCTGGCAGGTAAATCTGATATACTCTGATATACTCTGATATAACTTCCTCGTTTGGCATTTCTGTGTCAGGCTTTATTGTCCAATTTATTAATAAAACATACAGGAACTTGCTTTATTTGCTATTTTTTTTTTTTTTTTAATTATTGTTTGGCGTCCTTTCAATTATTCCTTTTTCTCTTTTCTACATAAAATATCAAAAGTTTAAATTTTATATTTGTATCAGCACAGTTATCTTATTGAAATAACGAATCATCAATGTCACTATTAGAAAAAGATAGGGATTGATCACTGCATTAATAGCATAAATGTCGTAAGTTTTAAACAGTGATTTAATAGCTATTTGTGCAACCAGTTACGAAATGCCTTATTTTATGTAACGAGTGAATATTTGCGGGACGAGCAGAGTGAGGACGCCCAACATGGACGAGTTATATAAAACACCATTTCGTAATATGTTACATACTATTTTTTTTTAAATTTGACTAAATTATTTATAAAATTGTGTTTTGTTAAAAAATTACTAACGTCTAGGCAACCAATATTACTTTCTTGTATTGTTAGTTACATATACATAAATTAATTCAATTTATTAAAAAACAAAAAATCATATTAATTTATTCTCAACAACTTGTAGTGTTTATATAGCTTGTTAAAGTTATTTAGTTTTGAAGAAAGTGGATTATTTTGTCGTGTATTTGTGTTTTAATTATTTTGTGCTGATTTAGAATGAAAAATAAGGACCAGAACGACATTATTACTAGGTCGTAAGTTTAAACAAATTCTATTTTTATTAGTCAACCTGCCCTTCTTTGATATAAACTTTCAATAACAATGTATATAGATTTTAAAATCAAAAAAGGTTTATTTCGCAGCTGTTGACATAATGAATTTTTAGAAACCAGTTTCATAATGTTCATCATTATGCAACTGGTTACGTAAACTAGATCATTTGGACATTTGCTGCGATTACAAAAAATGTCACTTTATATGTTAAAATTAAAAAAAAAGCCTTTTTAAAGCACTATGACTTTATTATTAATTTCAAGTATGTATTGTATGAAAAAAACTTGCTTTTAAAATATATTCACACTATTATAAATCGGTTTAAATTTTTAATCATAATTAATCATTCAACTTTTTAAAATATACTTTTTTCCAAATAAAATTGAACAAGAAATGTTATCAAACTCCTTATTTACAATTTCAATTACATGTTAGATTACGAAATCTATTTATTCAAATTAGCCATTTAAATTGGCTTTTAGAGGATAAAAATTGAATAAAATTAGATTTTAATACAGGAAATAACCTTCAAAATGTTTATCATACAAAGTTACTTAGAGCTAACTGATAATTTTGGTAATGAAATAAATTAAATGAAGCAAAGTTTATAATTACGACAGTAAATATTTTTCCATTGTTTTTTTTTTATTATTAATGAAGTGCGAAATGTTTGTGCAAAATGGAAAATATTTTGATTGCTTCATTCTAAAAAAAACTAATAAATGTTATAATCAAAAATTAATAATTTTTGTCGTTTATTGAACTGAATATTCAATCCAATAAGTTATCAACCGAAGCCTCTTCTGCCTCAAAAATTATATTTATGTAAAGTATCTAGAATTTATATTTATTAACAATCTACAATTGAAACTAAAAAGGTTACCTATTAAATATAAAAAATCTAATCTCACAAATGTTTAAATATATTTTAATCTTTAACACTTTTAATTAGAATTTAAAATAGCTTTACAAATACAAAAATAGGGAGTTATTTAGCATGTGCAATGAAAATATATTATCTCTTAGATAAGATAAAGCTACTTACCTGCCTAACTAATTCAGCACTTAATCCCAAATATTGATGCAAAGCTGTGAATGTTACTCTTTGCAACCTAACCATAATTACTTGTAATACTCTCACGAAAATGTCTGGATATTCCTGAAAAATTTCTTGAAAAGCGGACATAGGTAATTTAACTATTGTGGAATCCTCGATAGCCTTTGCTGAAACTGTTTTGTAAGGACTTGTGTGTCCCTAAAATATTAAATAAAAGTAAATATTTTTAAAGTTATTTTTGTTTTTATAACTTACTGTTAGTACGTCTGTGAAACTTAATAAAGATGTAACAGATTCTCCAGGTTTTACAATTTTTAGTGTATTCGATCCATCGTTCCCAGTAATTGATACATTTAATTTTCCACTTTGTACAATGTACACATTTTCATCAGGATCCCCTAAAAAATATGCAAAACTAGTTCATTTCAGTTCTTAAGTACAAAAAAAAAACAAAAGTAAACTAATACATTTGATGATAGAGAATATGGCCAAAAGGATACGATATAGAATGATCAGCAACGGAGTAATCACACGAAAGTCTACTTGCTTCAGGACTAAAGATACCTGGGACATGCCCCAGGATGAAATGCTAAAGAAGTACAGTTTTGTGAAAAACTTCAAAACCACAGAGATAGGCTGCAAGAAAGAATGGAGCCAAGAATCCATCGCGCTTGCAACCGAAAGACGTGCTATTCAGTGGTATACGGACGGTTCCAAAACCATAGAAAGAACTGGAATAGGAGTGTAGGGGCCGAGAACCAAGCACTCCGAAAGCTTGGGAAAATACCCAAGCATCTTCCAGACGGAAATTCACGCCATCGAGAAGTGTATCCAGATTAACATCGAGAGAAACTATCATAGACAAGAGATTATCATGTCCGATAGTCAAGCAGCTCAAAAATGGTCTGGAGATGCCTAGAACAATTGAATGAGCTAGGCGAGGAAAAATAGAGTTACTCTCACTTGGGTCCTGGGACATAACGGGGTACAGGGTAACGAGATTGCGAATAGTCTTGCAAGGAAAGGGGCTCAAACACCCTTTGTAGGACCTGAGCCGTTCTGCGGTATCAGCAGTAATTTAATATTAGGAGAGATTAAAAAAGAATTGGGCAGTAGAAGAACCGATAATTGGAACAATCTCTTCAGCCAAAGATACTTCTGGGTGAATATAACCAGAAAAGATCGGAAGTCTGCATCTGCCTGAGCAAGAACAGGCTACGTATTGTAACAGGGGTCCTTACCGGGCATTGCTGACTAAAAGGACACCTAAGTAAACTGAGAATAGTAGAGGATAGTGAGTGCAGATTCTGTGAGGAGGAGGACGAAACCTCCATTCACATCCTAACTGAATGTGTGGCACTCCAGAATCCAAGGGCACTATATCTAGGAGGATCTCAAATAGAAGAGGGAGATTTACCTAACTTGAAGCCACTTCAAATCCTACACTTTCTTGATAAAATAGGATTGGAAGGGTCGTTATAGGCATTGAGACATTTCCTTAGTGCATTGGCGACAGAAAGGGGCACAATAGATCTATTAGGTCGCAGGGTATTAACACCCCATTCTCAACATAACATAATACTGAGGGGGTGGGTGGTTCAGTGGTAGTCTTTGCCTGCGGATGTAAGGGCCCATGTTCGAATCCCACTGTTGGCCGGGATTTTTTTTATTTAATTTAATTATTTAAAATTAATTCTGATGCCTTGGTAGGATTCCCCACTTGACCATTCACTGTTGGATTCTAATTAACAGTGTTGTTCCTGAAGTGGCGCTGGGAAACAGTAACAAAGCCTACAGAGAACACACATGATTGAGAATTTAAAAACACAAACTTAAGTCTGGCATATTAGGTATATACATCTAGGCTATAAATCGAAAAAGAAAAAAAACTAATACTGTTTTTAAATCAAAATAAAAATGTTTTTATTGTTTCCATAAAAAACTTAAAATATTCATAGAATACATATGCAAGGTGTTAGGGTAACACTTCCATAATTTTAACACATTTCACAAATAAAACAATGCAATGTGACTGTTCTCTGCCACTAAAAATATTCTTAATTGTTGTCAAAGAAATAAGCGTTTTTTTTCCCATCAGCTGGAAGCAGCGGACTGTAGTAATGTAGCTAGTAGACATGTGTGATTATTGTTGAGGAATTATCAGACACTTAATTGTTAAGGATGAAACTAAATATATTATGTTCTTCAGTTAACAATTTTATTTAACCTATAATTTTACATAATGCAATGATATAAGTACTTAAATTTGCGATTGATAATCAAGAGGTTTAATACATCTCTCGTTTTGTTTCTGATGAATAGTGTCGAGCACGCGACGGAGAAAAAACAAAGATTTTGGAGTCTTCGAGGTCGGAATGAGTCTCAATATCTGTGCTGTCGATTGTAAGTAGGAAGACTAGCAATTGTGTGAGTGTCTCGTCGTGATTGCCTGAGGAGGGTACATCAATAAGAAGCAGGTGTGCAAAATTGTACAAATGTTTTTTCCTGGAATTCGGTAACATTCGATCAATTGCATTTACTGTTGCTATGGGTCAGGGCCGGCTTCTGATTTGTGGAAGATTTTTAAATTCGGTGATACAATGTACCGAATGAAAAATAAAATATACTGTTGCTCTCTTATATTTATCTGTGAAAAAATGAAATTTAAGGACTTTTGTGGATCAGTAGTTCTGAATAAAATTTGAAGCGATATCTAACAGTGATATCTTGGTGAAAAGAGAATAATATATTTTATTTGGTAGAACTGAAATTTGGGTGTTGTACATTTATTAATAATTTTGTTATTATTATGTCTAGCATCATTTTTTGTACAGATTTGTTCAGAGGAAACCAGATCCTATCTGGGAAACAGCCCAGCTAGCACATAACGTTGCCAAGCCTTTCGGCGATGTTGCTTTAAGAGAACGTAATAACATTACTATACAACGTAAATGCAACGTTCATGAGAAGTTGTTGAGGGAACTCAAAACCTTGCAAAACTTCTATTTGTTACTTACCTATTTAACCTACCTGTTATGTTAACACAACGTAATAAAGTAATTTGCTGAAAAAGTATCTACGAAAAGTACTATGATCATCTAATCTGAACTCGGAACGTTTATGTTTATCTCAATTGTCACTTTTTCTTGTCATATGTCATGCTTTTGATGGTTGTTTTTAACTGGAATTTATTTTATAAATAATTTTTATAAATTTGAGTAGAATTGTTAAGGATTCTCTATAAAATAGATAACTATTTTCTTCATTTCAGATTGCAATGCCTGGTATAAATTTAATATTTCATTCCCAATACAAATAAAATTGTTTAATTACTATAAAAACAAAGAATGGTGTAGATAAACGTCGTAAACGAGAACAATTAACCGAATGTCCAGTTACATTTTACTTATAAAAGAGGTATAATATACTTAATCAAACTAAAAATACATTTTAAAAATATTATATTTTAGGTTTCCTTTGTACCTAATGACAGTCTAGGAATTTTAGAAGCAAAAGTAAATACTACAGACTTGTCTAAAGAAGAATATATAACGCCTGAAATTTTATGAAAAGTGAATCTACAGCTAGGTACATGGCACGTCTATATTGAAAAAAAAAAAACATCAGATTCAAGCAGTTCATTATCATCAACAGACTTGTTGTGCCTGGAACTCTAATCATCAGTTCAAAGTACAAACCTAGAAAAAAAGTTGAGAGAAATCACAGAAGATGCCCTCGAGCATACATCAGAATATATTGCCAAAAAACATGAGTTGTTTTTTATAAAATATGCATACCTAACTTGGAAATCCATAATCAAGCATAAAATTTGTAAAATTTAAAAAAAAATTAAATACACCAACTTTGGTTGTTTTATTTAAAACAACAAAGTAAGACAAAATTATCTAAAAATAAGTACAATCATTTAAACTTGAGTATATTTTTTAATTTCTATATTATTTCCTTTAACAATAGTTAAACAAGTAGGTCAATCTCTTTTTTATTCAATATGTTGTGGAAAACTAAAATCTTTTTATATATAAATATAATTTAGCCTCTTCTAATAAATTGTCATATCTTTGTATTGGTGGTGAAAAGAGCTAAGCCACATTTTTAGGCAAAATGAGTTAATTATATCATAAAATAGTATATGAAAAATACCGTGGTGAAGAGAGATAAGCGATTATATAATTATAACCTTAAAATCCCACAAACTAAAAGAAGCTAGTTGAAAATACATATATCTTTTTCAGTGGTAAAATATTTTTAAGCAACATACCTTTCTTCTTTTATTTTTCGTTTTTAAATCAGTCTTAAAATGAAGGACATGTTTTTGTTTGTACCAAATGTTGTTTTAACCTAAGAGTTACAAACTTATTTACCCATTTTCTCCAATTAATAAATGTGTGGTTTAGCTCTTTTCACCACCAATATGACGATATATTTGTTACATTATAGCATAAATAAAAATATTTCCAAGCCACATGTAATTACAATAAAATAATTTTTGTTTACCTTTGCATAAATAATAAACTAACAAAATAAAAATATGTATACAAATCTATACAAAAAAAAGTTAAAAGGCTTGATTTAAAAAAGATGATATATATCTGTGTCTACAAGTAAGAAATTAGGGAACTCTCCTATAATATTATTCACCAATCTAGTTTTAGCATCATTCAATTGCCATCTTGAAATGAACCTTATATAAATATACTTTAGTACAATCGTTCACTGTTTAAACTTCTAGTGAACCTTTGCAATATTGATACCTTATACTATTAAGCTAAGTTTGTCCAATCGTTCAGTGCTTTATAGGTGGCTTCTATTATCGCACTTGTCTAACTGCGTATGTGATATACTTGCCTCTACTTTTGTGATATTTCTACTTGATTTCAAGAACATTTTAATAATAAATTTATATATTTTGTTTTATTTGAAATTTCCATGTCTCGATTGAGATTTTACTATAACCACAATTTCAGCCTCTCTGTATTACATATTACATTACACAAAGAACAATATAGTGTGTCCACGGATAGACTTAATTATATTTGTAAAAATATTTATTTTAAATTAAATAAGTTATTTTTCATTTCTCAATGTCAGTGGAATTTATTTAACAAGTAGAAGAAATTATGAAGAATTACTTTTTTAATTTAAAATAAATATTTTCACAAGTATAGTTAAGACTAACCGTGGACACACTGTATAATGCTGTAGAACTAATTCACATTATAACATCTATAGAAAGCTTCAGAGTAGAGTAACTTTCGGGTAAGTGCCGAAAAAGTGCTAGTGAGATGTTTTCCGAACTTCACTTTGCAACCTCTGTAAAATGAGCTATAAAAGTCTTGCCATTGCGGACATTCGGCGGTTGCAGGGATATTAGGGTTACATTAAAAGTACATCACATGCGAGCTTGAAGAGCCTAAAATTGCAGCTTTTTAAAGTAGATGGGATGTTTTTGTGCTAGCTGGGAGGAATATCACAGAAAAATATTAGAAATAGACAGGAAAATAAATGAGAACACAAGAAAGGTATTGAGTGGGATGTACAGATACTTTAGTTTTCGATTAATGTTAAAAAAAGAGTGTACTCTTTATGAAAGTTCTAAATGGTCAAAATCCTAAAATGTAACCATCAGACATCAGAATGTATCAATCAGGTAAATATAAATTTGTAGACATCTATTTTGCCTGAAAAGGCTGTTTATTTTTAAAAATTTTCAGAATATATGGATATGACTGCATATATTTTTTTTTAATTATTATAGATTTTTTTATTGTCACCTTGAAAATGAGATATTTTTCCAAAAATTATATACATTTAAAAGTAATATCTCTTAAATGACATTCATTTATGGTACCTAAATGTTCCTTTTTCATAGATAATCATTAAGGTAATCATGCACATGAATCAATTGTATTGTTTACATTATTTTCATTTAAGTCATTAAGTAAATAATGATGTATTTTATTTTTGAAGGTAAAACATGAAAAGTATGATAAAAATTCTTACTTTTTAGGCAAAAATTATACTCTGATTATTAAATCCTTTCAAAACTAACAATTTTACAATAATTTAAATTGCAAATATGGCTTGCTCCATAAAACATCAACTAATGACAAATATTTTTTAATAAATTTCAGCTTTTATGAACTGATGTCAAACAGTTTGTGTTTGACCTCATTTCATAATATTAAAAAAAATACATTAGGAACATAAATTCTCTCAAATTTTTGCATATTTTGGAGGTTTTAATGTTAAATACAGTTCAATAAGATGTTTTATACATTGTGTCCATATTTTTGAATTCCTATGCCTATGGTTTGTTTTTAGTTTAGATTGTTTGTCTAGCAGAATCAACAAAAAATTCCCTAAGTATACAAACAAAAAATAAATATATTTAAAAAATGTACTTACCTATTCTAAATAAGTATGCTCCAGCATGAACATTTACAATTTCAGTATGCTTGCAAAGTTTTAAGAAAATAGGTTTTTCAAAGTGTCCAAAAACTCTAATACTCTGCAACATATACAATGCATCTGGTGGCATTCTGTCATCACTAAGCATGTCTTCTTGCAGATATTCTTCTGGAGGTTCAAGTACCTACAATTAAATTCACATTATTATTGTGTAAATTAAACCAATATACTTAGTTTGTACCTTCAGCTGCTCCTGGTCAGTTTCTTTTTTAAGTTGTAAAAGCCTTCTGGCAAATTTCATAACCATTTTTCTCTTTTTTCCTTGTCCAGAATTTCTAACCTGTCCAGATATATTTTTAACCTTACGTATCATCTTTCTTCCATAAAAAAGAGCTTTGTCTCTTTTTCGAAACCTTATAGTTTCTTGAGACAATGATTCTTTCCTTGTAAATACTACAAAAAATGTCATGTTTTAGACAAAAGGACATTGGATTAGCATAATTTAAATAAAAACAATAACATATTTGATAAAAGAGTTCAACAGCCTTTACCTTTTTTGGTACATCTTCGAATTAAATATGTTGTTAGAGTTGCGGTAATCAATATTATTCCAAATATTACTATGTAGAAAAACTGTAATGAAAATATAACATCACTATAATCACCAATAATCATTTTATTAAATATTAACTGAAAACAGATAATAATGATACAAATTCAATAAGTTACTGAGTCAGAGCCTTATGCCTAATCAGCATAATTTATTTATAATTTGATTTATATTAAAACATTTGATACCAATAGAACATGATCCAACAAAAAAATAATCCTTCTTTAATGATACAGTTTATATTTACATAATCTAATAACAAAACATTAACTAGTCCTTTTCTTTTTTCAAGGTAAACTATTATCCTACCTTATAAGTTTCTTGAAATTGTACGTATAAATTGATTAGCCATGTAGATTTGCTTAATACTCCGAAATCAGTATCAAAGTTTTTTATGGAATTTATGACATCCATTGTAATTCACAGTTCATTATTTTAAATACTATTTTTCTACGTTTGATTAAACACAATACATGCGAGCATAACACGGACTTCGAACCCACATAATAAAAATGATATATATGGAAATTTAAATTGTTATGATATAAAATAAATCTCTAATTTTTTTGACACTCTGACAGATTTGTCAAAATATGGGGGTGATAATTTTAAAAACATTCGCACTACAAATCTACCCGGTGCGAGGTCCGAACATCACATAATTCATGATGTGCGTTTTAAAAAAATATAATTAATAAAAGATAAGAAATTAAAATTAAAGTGCTATCTATTTAAATCATAAAAATATAAAATAATCATTCCGATTTCTATTAATTAAATAACCTTTAAAGTTAGTTACTCTTCGCACATTTTCGTTTTAGTTCGAAGCTCTGATAA